GTGTTAACTATTTGCCCATAGCTGGGACCCTAACAGGTGCTACCACCCTGGATCAGGGTGGATGTGGGAACACCAGCAATTAAGAGGAGGTTCCACGCTCCTCAAAACCTCCTGATCAGAGGCCTTGCTGCTGGACATAGTTTATCGTCATACCCAGGACGAATGAACACGAATATGAAAAAAAATATTATTTTAAAAATATAAGTTAATAGGAGGATCAAAAAAAAAAACCATGTAAATTCGTTATAAATACATTTTATAGTAAAACTAACAGCAATACATTTTTATATAAAAAGGACCAACAATATATATATTTATAGTAAAATAACCAGCAATACATTTTACCTGCAGTTGAATGTATACAATTGCATTCTAAATATATTTAGATGAAGCCATAAAATTGAGTTTAGATTTAGATTTCGGCATTAAATAACCCATAGAGGTGTTGATAAGCCGCTAAACAAAATCAACCAACCAACAATACCTTTTATCTGTAGTTGAAGACATACAATTGCGTTCAAAATATATTTAGATGAATCGTGTTTAGACTTAGATTTCAGCATTAAATAACCCATAGAGGTGTTAATATGGCGCTAAACAAAATCAACGTCTGTAGTAAAATGACCTTAGTGGAATTGTCATAATTATAAGTAGTTCGATAAATTTGAACATTTTGGTAGACGATTAATTAATATACGTCTCGTCTAAATTGCCAGAGGTGATGCACTTATCGGTGAATGGTCCGGAATCAGAGAGATCCACAGCACCATGCCGTTCTCGTGTCTTGTATTTGTTCAAACCATTGTACGAAGCCCGAACTAAGTGCTTCTTTCTTCTATACGATATCAAGAGGGGTTTGTTTTTGAAGTTACATTCTTCTAGCCTTTGTCTGAAGATGCAGGACCTAGAAGGCAGCAGGTGGTTTGAATTCAGTTGTGCTTTCTCTTAGACGGGTTACCAAAAAGGCTATAGGTCGTAGTGGCACCACATGTACTGCAACTGTAATAACAGTGCTGTTTCCTGGACAATATAATCTGACCCAACTCTATCCAGGTTGGTTTTTGAATTCAAAGATTTTCCTTCCCTAGACCGATTAAGGCTATAATGTCTGTTCTGTCCTGTTATCTACAGTATGTGATAGTTTTTCAGTACTAAGTCAATATTGTTTATTACATGTCTCAAACGGGGAATAATATAAAGCATAGTGTAAGGAGAAACAAAATGGAAGGTTCTTACATGAAGATATGGAGATATTCCTATACCTGGAGAAGCCATTTTTAGGGCTCCAGATTCAAATGGGCCGGATTCATCTGTGTCTCTGTCGAGCACATATTCCATGAACGGGAAACTAGATTTTCTCAAATTGAGCACTGCAAGCTCGAGTTTCATTTTATATCTGAGAAAGATATATTCCGAAAGGGAAACCGCACCGTAGACTTGTAAGCTGCTGAGGAGGCAAATTCAGCCTCTGCCCGTACCAAGGCGTGGGTAGTGAAGCTAAAAAAAAGCAACATTCTAGTTTGGTGGTTGCTGTAAACGAACTGAAATTGAATGGCGCTTTCGTCACTGTATGGGAAAAACGTCATTAAGCGGCCGTTAAATGACCCATGTGACTTATCTCCACTAAAGGGAGATAAGCGCCTTCTGTATCCTTACAAAAATAATCCGGTACATCCATGGAGGACTTTGAGATTACAGGATGATGAAGGAAAAGTCATTAGGTCGAAGATTTCAAAATTCTATCGCTTGAGTTCAAAGATATGGCACACTGGCATGACGTGCCCACTTTGGTTTATTTCATTGCCAATTCTTTAATTAACAAATTTTTCATTCTGTAATTTTTTTGAAATTCTTTACCTTTACATATTTTAATCAAATTTAATTAAATACTTGGCTCAGAAAGGTGACTTTTGATGTGATTGGCCTGGGAGAGGCATGCGTCACCATTGGAAACGCCTTTATCCACTGTGCCATGTGTCCTTGAGGCACAGTGGATAAAGGCGTTAGTTAGATCAAGTGACAGGGCCCAAAGAGTGTCAGTTCAATACCTGGTTAAGGCAGTGGAGAACTTGGAGAAGGGAATTAACACAAGGTAACTGATAACTGACATCCATTAGAAATAGCACGTGGGTGGAACTAGAACAGTCTACCCCAATGAGCGAAATAAAGGGTTCAGTTCAATATTCCAACCACCTGAAGAAGGCTGGAGTGTACAACGGCTGAAACGTTGCGATAAATATGGCAACAAAGATGAGGACAATAGTCTGAATAATGTAAATAGTGTGCATAATACCTCATCTCAGAAATATAGTCAGATACTGAAGGTCCGAAACGTTGTAATAAATATGGCGACAAAGATGAGGACAATAGTCTGAATAATGTAAATAGTGTACATAATAACTCATCTCAGAAATATAGACAAATACTGAAAGTCCGAAACATTGTAATAAATATGGCGACAAAGATGAGGACAATAATTCGAATAATGTAAACTAATAACACCTCATTTCAGTAATATAGACAGATATCAATATCTATCCTCTTCTATGGAAGTGCATGTTAGACAATTTCCTCATAGATAAAAAGAGGAGTCACTTTTATTTACAATCAGATAAACACATAATGAGGAAAAACGGCTAGAAGAAAAGACAAACATTGTTTTGGAGAGCCATAATCACCCGCAACCTGAAGAAACATGGTATATAAAAAGAACAAAATTAACCTGTCATAAAAGATTTTTTTTAATTTTTTTTCGAAAGTGTATCAGAAAACCTTGTTCAGCAAAAAAAAATGTGATCATTCTCTTTGTCAGTACATGAATTTTATTTCTTTGATCTCTCTAATAAGGCGGAATGTGAAACAAGCTCTTTTTTTTTAATACGGGGTGCCTATACGCGTACATATGGTCCAATGATAAAAAGTGACCAGTCAACGCAATCATTGTCACGCTGGCGTTAATATTACACCTACCCCATCTTTCCTGTTGCACTAAAGAACGTTATGCTGCAGGATCGGAATCCCTTTTACCAGTCAGCGCCTGCCATCTAAAATGAGAACAGATACTACACCTTGACCCCCGTCCCGAAGGTCGAGAAGCGTTTTTTTACCTGACGTTCAAACAAGAACAGAGTATGACTCGTTTATATATATATACTAGCAGTAGAGCCCGGCATTGTCCAGGGATGTAACAGTAAGAGATAGATCAAGTATCGACCATCATAAAGACTGAAAAATAAAATTGACAATGATTATTGTTTAAGGTTGATGGACACGCATGTCTTAATTAGCTTGTTTTTTTTTGTTTTTTTCAAACTCAAACAAAAACATTGTTTTCAATCGTTATGAGTCTACCGATTGAATAGAATTTTATTATAAACAATTGTCTTGAAAATGGAATTTTTAAAGCATTCTGAATGTAAAAAAAAAGTGTGCAAGACAATAAGAAACACTACCTGCCAAAAAAAAGTGAAGTTTTGTTGAAATTGGTTGAAAAATGTAGGAAATCCAATTCCATATATAAATGAACACACACACACACAACACACACACACACACACAAAACCTGGGTTTTATAAGTATAACTCGATATGAGTTTTCCCCCTTTCATTCTCGTGTTTTCAAATTGATTTCATGCAAAAACAATTGTGTTTTTCCAATTTTTGGCGCTGTCAGAACCACCGCAAGGTAATTTTACGTAGTCCTGTGAATTTTGTTGAAATTGGTTGAAAAATGTAGGAAATCCGATCCAATATATAAACGTACAGACACACACACACACAATCTGTGTTTTATAATAAGTAAGATATATATATATATATATATATATATATATATATATATATATATATATATATGGTGGTACTCGCTTGGAAAACCTTAGATATTTTGACTTGTAGTAGAACAAACCAGTACCCAAGGAAAAATGATGAATAAAAAAAAAATAGAAAAAAACCAAGAACATGAAACTAAAGCAAAAACTATCGTCCAGAGTTCAAGCTCAAAGTCCAAAAACCCTCCAAAACTAGTAAAGGCAACTACGTAAAGTGCTCAATACACGAAGTAGAGCAAACCTTAGAGCCGTTTAGGTGAAACATAGGTATGTTTGCCTGGCCCCTTAGTTTAATCTTATATATATATGGAGCGAGATAAAATTACCAGGTCTCCGTGACTATTGTCACCATGGCATCATGATTACTTGACCTCTGTTAATGCAATGAGGAAGTTGTTGCTACAGGCTCGAAATTCCCGAAACCAAGCATCTTCCCAACATCTGAAGTGAAAACAGATACTATGCTTTGATTACCTGGCCTAGACAAAGGCAGGATGGGACACGTGGTTTTTTTATGTGATGGGGTTGTGCATACATATACATATTGGCCAATGACAAAATTTGCCCAGTTCCAATAGCCAGTCACGCTGGTGTCGATATTACACAGACCTCACTTCTCTTAGTGCAATTAAGTTCTGTAGCATGGTTGGGCACCTTCTCTCATCTAAAATAATGCGAAAGCAGATACTACACTTTGATCCCAGCCAAACGGACGAGAAGCGTCATTTACCTGACCTTCACTCTAAAGCAGGATGTGACACAAGTTTGTTTTGTAACGTGTGGAATATGCATATAGAGCAAGGGTAAGATTTGCCCAGTCCCTGCGACCACTGTCACGCTAGCATCGTTATTACACCGACCCTGCCTATCTTAGTGCAATGAGGAAGATGTTGCCGCAGGGTTTGAATCCCCGAGACCGGACACCTTCTCTCATCTAAAATAATGAGAAAGCAGATACTATGCCTTCATTCTGGCTGAAAAGTGATTACTAAGTGTAGATTAGATGTGGCCGCAAGTATGGATTACCCAGTCAGGATCAAACTCACTATTCACTCATAATTGATTTAGCGAGCTTGCTATTGTACCATGTCTAAGTGCCTTTTGCCAGTATATGAAACCGATTCAAAGGAATTGCAAGACTTCTTAAAATAATCAGTTTGTACCTAATCTAATGCGTTGTTTTGTGTCTTTTTTTTAATTGCAAATTTTTGTATCTTCTTTATTTTACAGTTATCGAAGGTGATGTCTACAGTTCAAAATCAATAGAGGATTGCTTTTTGGAATCTCCAATGTATCCTTTCTTATTATCCAAAAAAGTAATTTTTTACGGTTTATCAACCTTTTGCAGGTTATTTAAAGACAAGATAATAATAATAATAATAATATATTGAGATAATAATGATACAATTCCTACTAATTATCCCATATCTGGGGGTGAAGTAGAGATATAAAAAAGATAAACAATATGAAAAAGTAACTAAAAGAAATCGGCCAAACTATATACTTAAAAAAAAAAACACTTTAAAAAAATTAAAATTAAATTAGATTATTTAAGCGTCCCCTCTCCTTCATACATATATGTAATCCCATCAGCCTAAATATTATTTACTTCGATGAATTTTTAAAGGATGAAAAGTATCACATGAATTTTTTCCCAGTTTGTCATAGATTTTCCTTAAATACGCACACACACACACACACTCTATCTCTGATATTGAGCACTTTATCCCATAAATATAGCACTTCTTAAGACACACACACACACACACATATATATATATATATATATATATATATATATATATATATATATATAATGGATGACAAAAATACTTTTGGTATATTTTTATTTAGTTGATATGTCGGAGTCCAATAAAGTTTTTTTGAAAATCACAAAATTTTCGATTACTCCTCCACTCTCCGTTAGTGCTTGATAGTGAATATTTTTTGATCGCTTCACTCTCGGAAATGAACTGGAATATGTCATTAATGCAAATTGTTACAATCAGATATATATTACAAATTAAAAAGAATAAATGAGAAAGAAATGAATGTAAAATAGAATTCTTCCCATTTCTAAAAGGCCCCTTTTCTCATATTCGAGTTTCTTCAATTCGAGCCAGAAGACGCCTACTATACGGAAGCAAATGCGTAGCTGAAAAAAAACTTTTCCACTTCGTCTTGTATCTCCACGAATAATCAAGTGTATATACTAAAATATAATATAAAGAGAATTAGAAAATGTGTGAGAGGGAAGGAGGTTTGTGAAAAAAGAGGCAACTATGTCGGTGAGATGGTTCGGAATTTTGAGTTTGATTCTACAATCATAAAAACAAAACAATTAGGGACACAGGTCTATTCTTTTGCACAGTATTTCGACTTACCTAATATTAGAAGCGACCTTCTCGACTCTTCTTTTAATTAGCAATAGAGCCGTAGAGAAGCTGAAATCCTTTTCATTCTTAAATTTATTACCTACAATTTAGAATTAAACAAAGACCTATGAATTCTCAATGTTTATGCTTTTTGCAAAAATGACAACAGCGTTTTTTTAATTATCATCTTTTAAAATAAATCACTGCGTCAGAGTTAAAGAAAAAAAGAACTCTCCTTACCAACAGAATGGTATGTCCTCTTTCTGTTTAAGATACCATTCGCTGAATATGAAGAAAATGTTATAGCATTTTATTTTCATGTTGTAGTTTTTATGGATTTAATATCCCAGTAATTAATATTGTTTTAAAAATAAAACAAAAATCGAGTCCTGATCCTCTTTCATGCTTGCAAAGGGTAAAGTTCTGACACAATTTTAACAGAGGGTAAAATTTGGGATAAACGAAGATTTTTTTTAAGGTTCATAATGTAAGAAAGAAAGTGTTGAACTAGAAAGACAGTCATTTACATTATTCGGACTATTGTCCTCATCTTTGTCGCCATATTTATCACAACGTTTCGGCCGTTGTACGCTCCGGCCTTCTTCAGGTGGTTGGAATTTCGAACTGAACCCTTTTGAAATTCCAACCACCTGAAGAAGGCCGGAACGTACAACGTTGTGATAAATATGGCGACAAAGATGAGGACAATAGTCCGAATAATGTAAATAATGTACATAATACCTCATCTCAGAAATATTAGACAGTCGTCCTTAAAATCAGAAAATAACAAATGAAATTTCTGGGACACGTTATGAGGAAAGACGGTCTGGAAAATTTAATACCCAAAGGCAAGAGTGGAAACAGCGAACGACTAGGTGAATGAATAGCAAAGCAGTGACATAGTAAAAAGATAAATTTTACTTAGCACTCAAAGAGAAGTTGCGCACGTCCTGAAGATAAACGCTACACAAATGACGAGGAATTATTTTAATTAGTCACTTATCTTTTTTATGAGCTACTGGATAAAGTAATGGTTAGTGAGGCTACTCTGGTGGACCATGAATACTGAGTAATGAATTTAATCCTCACTGGGGGGGGATCCATACAAAATTCAGTATTAAATAACCTAAGAGTAGACAGGATGTACAGTCAATTAACATATTTTCCAAATAATATATAAGCGTTAAACACATTTAAAACTATAAAAAATCCAAACTTTTATTGGAGGTTTTATTTTATCTAAAGTTTAAAATCTATCTCCGCTTCTTTTTTTTTTTTTATTTGGGCTATTAAATTTCGTAGAAGAAAAATAAGAATAAAATGAAATAGAATTTTTACATACTGTGATATAAAGTAGAGTTGCCATTCATCGTATAATTATAGATTTTTTGCCTCGAATTTTCCTACTTTTTTTTTTTTTTTCCTGACCTCTTTGCAAAGAGCTTCGGGACTATTTCAAGTGCACCAGTAGTGATAGATACAAATGTTATTTTGATGGTTTAAATACTTTGCGTTCTTTTTCAAAAAAATTACGTTTTTCAGAATTTTGATTTCTTTCTTTTTTTCACCTGAAAGAGAAACACCATTTTTTTTTTTTTTTTTTTTTTTTTGATTACGATGACCAAATCTGGTCTCCTGGTTGGGACTGCTTTTGAATATTTCAAGTCCCATAGAAATTTAGTTAATTATTGATTATTTTTCTTATTAAAATGATTACTCTTATATTTTCATAGTCTACGTTTGTCACGGTATATTTCTACTTATGTCCTTGACAAGAGTAAAACAGAGAAACTGCAAAGGTGCCCGATGAAGTAAGTTATTATTTTACTTTTTATATAAAACTGTATTTATTGTTTTTTGTGTCATCATAATTGCATTATTTATTATTATCATATAATAATTCTGCTTATTTCTTCGCCTGTACGTTACGCCTTGCAAGAACCTAATCATTGCGTAACACGATTTTTGTCCTTGGGTAACAACTGTTATTTCGTATTTGTTTACGCCTAGAAAGTATTACAAATAGCTAATATTTCGTTTTAAACTTTGACTTTATGATAATAAATGATTGACCTATTCCCATTGTGAAAGCTGGCGAATGTAAACAGTTTCGTTCACACAAAGTAAGAATAAAACGACGCATAATTTAAAAGCAGCATTTATTTACTCTCGGATTACACTCGAGAGACCACAAAAAATTAGAAGTAGTTTTTCGCGATTTACGCTTATAATGTCAATTAATTTCACGAAACAGTCTTCCAGGATTTACTTTGGCCCTCCACTGAGACAGGTTGTGACACAAGGTTGGTTTTTAACTAGAACCGCGACAAATTGTTTCATAAGCCTTAATTTGAAGTACAGTGGGGGAAACAATATTTTCCTTCCCAGACTGAAGTCGGTTTGCTGTGGCCAGTCCCGCCTGAGGTTAGCGTGCCGCGGTGAATTTGCTGTCACAAAGGCAAAGATAACACGGAAAATTGGTAAAGCCGCCTGGGAGACACATTAGGAAATCCACCATTTTATAGTCTCCGATAACATATCAAACGTACTCTTCATATTTCAAGGAATTTAGCAAGATCTTGACACTGCTGTATTCCTCTTTGAGGTGCACCGAGTGAGCCAGGGGAAGTAGTACGAATTTAAGGTTCCTGGATGAGATGTCGATGAAGAGGCGCCAATCTCTGGGGTTACAGATAATTCCAATTGTCTCGAATAGTCCGGTCAGAATGTGGCAGAATCCAAGTCCGTCATAACGCGTGTAAAAAGCTTGAAAATCACTGGTGACGCTTTCTCTGATCTGCTTCTCGTACATTTTCATCTAACAAATTCCACTGATTGAGCCTCCACGCCAAAAACTCGACATTGGATTTTGTGAGACCAAGATCTCTGATCAGGTCGTTGATATTAAAAGATAGTAGTTTTTCGCGATTTACGCTTATAATGTCAATTAGTTTCAATAATCAGTCTTCCATCGTGTTTTCGTTATAAGATCCTTGGTAGCGGCGTTCAAAGTCCAGTCTATTCTGGTGGCAACAATCGCTTTGTTCCTCTGATTACGTCACCATGTTCATCCGAATTTATAAAGATAAGCGTCAAGGGTATGGTGTGAGGGACATCCTGCAGCCCATTTTGCTGTAGTTCTTCACCAGGGTTCCAATAAGGTCCACATAGTTTTTGGCCTTGTGATTCCCCAGGAATCCACAAAGTTCTTACACGCTGCTTTTTTCGTCTTAATGAGCGAAAAAGTTCAGAGAAGAAGTCTTACATGTACTTCCAGGATATACTATAACCCTCTACTGAGCCAGATTGTGACACAGGCTTGTTTTTTTTTTTTTTTTTTTTTTTTTTTAACGTGGGGACCTGAGTGTTTTCACATAGGCCGCTGGTCTAGGCTGATCTTAGCGTGTCTAAGCAGGTCATAACTTGTCTAAATTTGTCCGAGTATGTCTAAGCTAGTCATAGCCGATCTTACCACTGCTATGGAGCAGATGTTACGAAACAAGACCGAGGATTCTGTCCATAAACGGGGAAGGGAGAGTGAAGGCCTTCGGCATGGAACAGATACTATAACCGCAGCATTTACTCTGAATCAATCTTCCATCATCTTTTCGTTATAAGATCCATGGTAGCGGCGTTCAAAGTCCAGTCTATTCTGGTCGAAGCACTCACCTTGTTCCTCTGATTACGTCACCATGTTCTGGAATTTATCAAGATGAGCGTCAAGAATAAGGTCTTCGAGAGACATCCTGCAGCCCATTTTGCCTTAGTTCTTCACCAGAATCTGAAAAATCTCCACATAGTTTTCGGACATGTAATTTTTCAGGAAGCTCCGACAAAGCTGTTCCACACTGAGAGACAGTAGAAGAGATGGATACATGTTCCTGTTATGAAGCAGTACGGATTTGTGGTTCCTGGATGAGGAAGCCACTATTCGCTGCGGTTACAAGTGATTCCAATTGTCTCGAACAGACCGGTCACATTATGATGGAAGCAAAACCAATCTTGACGGGTGAAAAAGCTTGAAAATCACTGGTGACGCTTTCTCTGACCTGCTTCTTATACATTTTCATCTAACAAATTCCACTGCTTTGAGTTTCGACGTCAAAAGTTCGGCATTGGACCTTGTGAGACCAAGATCTCTGATCAGGTCGTTGATATCTTTTCGGTTGGGGCAGTATGGATTTCTCTCAGCAACGCATCTATAATCTGGATCAACGACTTCATGCTCTTTTCTCTTCTGTAGACGACTACTGTCTTCTTAGAGGAGTGGGTACATGGGGAGCTCAGGGCAGTGTAGCACTGGGCCGATAGATGACGGAACGTCTGGATATATGACAGCGGATACATTCTTGCCAGCTCGACGTTTGAAGGATCCACCATGCAGAAAAAAGAAGTTAATGTTTGAGCGGTCAGTTGGTTCCTAGAATGGATTCAACGTGTTTTAGTGGACTCAGCAATTTTCAATATATATATCTGAATCATCTTCAAGAAGCGAGAGCAAGATCTAAAAGGTCAATAATCTAACAGTGATCTCATCTCACAATCCTCACACTTGCTCCATATGTGGCCTCCTTTGGAAATCACTAGCGGGTCTTAAATGCCACTTAAGATTAGCAATTTTCATAACTGAATCAATAAGCTGTCAGATCCTCATACGTCGAAACCGACGGGAGAGTCCATTATATATATATATATATATATATATATATATATATAACATATGATCTATATCTATAATCCTCGCACTTGCTCAATATGCATAAAAACAATTTTAGCCAAGTACAGGGTACATTTTCATTCTACTTGAAACCCGGGTCTTAAATGTCCTTAAGATTAGCATTAAACTTTCTGTTTTTTCAATCAATAATAGTATGCAGATCCTCATACGTCCAAACCGACAGGAGTTCCATTATATATATATATATATATATATATATATAAATATATATATATATATATATATATATATCGTGGATGTGTCATGTATGTGTGTGTGTGTGTGTGTGTGTGTGTGTGTGTGTGTGTGTGTGTATTATGCCACGTGTGTGTGTGTATTAAATTAAATATACATACCTCAAAAGATTTTTATGAATGATGTTTTCAGGGTACTAGACTTCAGCAAAAAAAAGGCCTAACATGAAATTTAAAATCTATCACAAACAGACGGGAAGTAAAATTTTCTGTTGGATGCTTATAGCCTATTGATTACATCTGTGACAGATGCAACTAAAAACATGAAATTTGTCTGCATCTAAAAGTTTAAAAACTGTGAACTCTTGAAACTTTGTACGTTTCCTGAATTCATGCTATCTATAAATTGCCAGAATGTTCAAGAAATTCTTGAAACATCTAGAAATTTCTCCTTCAGCAACTCGGCACTGAAACTGTCTAGAATATAATGGAAAATAGGTTTGTTTCAAAACATCGATGTCTAGTTCAAAAAAAATTTTTTTTTTTTGTAGTTTTAAAAGTTGTCCTTTGGTTTTATAGACAGAAGCAATGAGGAAATAGTACTTACTGAGCAAAGACAAAGTCAAAATGATGTTACACAGTGTAGTAGACTATCAGCAAAAGGAACAAAAAACATTTTAAAAAATATCTGGTAATAATTTTAACAGGACGGGAAGACGTTAAAAATTAACCGAAATTGATTTATTGGAATAGTTGGACTGCAGTATTTTTTTATTGGTATCATTTCTCCTAGATGGACCATCTCCTCATGATAGGACTTGGCAGATAACAAAAAAAATGGAGCTCTACATTCAAAGAAGTTTTTTAATAGTTTTGTAAATTAAGAAACTTTGGGAAAAATTCATTAAACAAATAAAATGTATTTTGTAACAAAACAATGTAAGAGGTTTTGATAACAGTTGTGTTATATCAGTCCTTACATGGCAGTGAATCCTTTTTAAATCTCTTCACAGATGAGGAAAAATTTGAAGAATTTTAAATATCAATATTAGTTCTAAAATGTGGATGCAATTTTTTTTTCTTTATGGACCGAACAATTATGATCAACGATTGTTTATCCTTTTAAAAATATTGATGAAAACAAAACATCATCAAAATTTTGGTTTAAAATTATCTAGGAATCTAACATTATGAATTTTCCAAAAGAAATATATTTTTTATTTTAGACAATCACTAAAATAAACAAAAAAAATTTAAAATTGGACATTTTTTTTTAGATGAAAACAATGCAGAACCTACATGAAAAATATGTTTTAATTTGGAACATAATGTGATTCATTTATATATTTTAAATATTTGAACAGGGTTTTGTAGATATAGCAAAAAAATAAAATTTTACTAAGATAAATATTTTGGTTGGTTGATTTTGTTTCAATTTGGTCAGGATGTGGAGAAATTAAATGATGGCCATTTAATAATTTTTGAACGCAATTGTCATTCAACACATCCTGAAACAAATCTGTTTTCACTTAATTTGTATTTTGGTAGAAGAAAAATAGAAATAAATTGGGTAAAAAAATATTTTTCTATAGATGATGAGTCAATAAATGTATCTTTCATTTATGTATTGATGTTTGTCAAACCCTATGGGTTATTTAATTTCAAATATTTTGAAACTTTTAAAGGACATCCAATTGTATTTTACAAACAAATGTGGTTTGGGGTTTTTTTGCAAAAACCAATTTTATAATGCCGAATGGTAAATTCGAAAGGAGTTTATTCAATTATTAACTAAATTTTTATTAAACAAATTAATAATTATTAATAATTAACTTTTTGGAACAAATTTTGGTTGGATATATTTAATATAATTAATATTGATTTATTATTAATGGAAACAATTATTAACTTATGGAAAATATGATTTTGAAAACAATTTAGATTTAAATTGAACGCAATTGTATGCTTTTTTGAAAATAGGAAAACCGTATTTTTTTATTGGTTTGTTTGTTTAACGGCATATCAACACCTTATGGGTCATTTAATACCGAAATTAAATTTTCTTGGGAGCTTTGAAGTAATAAAATTTTATGTTTCATATTCTAAATAAAATTCATTTCTTGGTAGATGATGCTCAGCTTTTGTGATTTTGTTTGAATTGCAACCCCTTTGTGTTTTTTAATGTTGCTCTGTTGATCTTTACATTTTGGAATAGTTTGATTTAAGAAATTGTAGGATATTATATGGATTAATGTCATGGAAGAGTTCTTTTATATTTGTTGGATGTTTTTCTTTTGCGGCATATATCAAACTCTATGCGTTATTTAATGCCGAAATCTAAATATTTGAACACAATTTTATTTTTTTAACTAAATATATTTTTTAACGCAATTGTAAATGCCTTCAACTTTATGATAAAATATATTGTTGGTCATTTTTACTATAAATATTGTTGTATTTTTTATAAATGGTTGATTTTTTGTTTTGTTTTATGGCATATCAACACCTCTATGGGTTATTTAATGTCGAAATCTAAATATTTTTTTCCAATTTTACATTCTCAACTAAATATATTTTGAACGCAATTGTATTGTTTCAACTATAGATAAAATGTATTGTTGGTCATTTTACTATAAATATGTATTGTTGGTTGGTTGATTTTGTTTAGCGGCATATCAACACCTCTATGGGTTATTTAATGCCGAAATCTAAATATTTGGAACACAATTTTATGGCTTCAACTAAATATATTTTGAACGCAATTGTATGCCTTCAACTACAGATAAAATGTATTGTTGGTCCTTTTACTATAAATATGTATTGATGGTTGGTTGATTTTGTTTCGCGGCATATCAACACCTCTATGGGTTATTTAATGTCGAAATCTAAATATTTTGAAAACAATTTTACGGCTTCAACTAAATATATTTTGAACGCAATTGTATGCCTTCAACTATAGATAAAATGTATTGTTGGTCATTTTACTATAAATATGTATTGTTGGTTGGTTGATTTTGTTTAGCGGCATATCAACACCTCTGTGGGTTATTTAATGCCGAAATCTAAATATTTTGAACACAAATTTTATGGCTTCAACTAAATATATTTTGAACGCAATTGTATGCCTTCAACTACAAATAAAATGTATTGTTGGTCATTTTACTATAAATATGTATTGTTGGTTAGTTGATTTTGTTTAGCGACATATCAAAACTTCTATGGGTTATTTAATGCCGAAATATAAATATTTTGTACACAGTTTTATTTATTAGATTAAGAAACATCTATAAAGACCTTATGTGAGTACTATGAGTGATTTGATTTGTTTAAAGTCATATCAACTCCTTATGAGTCATTTAATGCCAAAATTTTTTTCTTGGAAGCTTTGAAGTAATAAAAATGTGATATGTTATTCTGCTTTCGCAATTGAATACATGGTAGATGATACTCCGCCTTTGTGCATATAGATGTTTCTGTGGGCATAATCATGTGAGATGGTCATATGTGTGTTTTATGTTATTTTGTTGAAATTATATTTTGGAACATTTTGGTTTAAGAAATTGTAGGATATTATATGGATTTATGTCAAGAATGCGGTTTGGTTGGTTGATTTCGTTTTGCGACATATCAACACCTCTATGGGTTACTTAGTACCGTAATCTAAATATGTTGAACGCAATTGTAGGTCTTTTTTCTTTTTTTTTTTTTTTTTTTTTTTACAGATAAAATGTATTCTTGGTCAATTATTTTATAAATAGGTATTATTGGTAATATATATATTCTAATATTTTTACTAAAAAAATATATTTTGCTTTTGTTTGGGAGTTCACTATTTGCTTATATCTGGGACCCTAACAGGTGCTACTACCCCGGGTCAGGTTGGACCTTCCAGCATTAACAATTAAATGATTACACGCTCATCAAAAATCTCCCATCAAAGGCCTTGCTTTATTATAGTTTAACTTTTTATTGGTACTAATAGTTGTTAAAATTTAAAAAATATTATTATTATTATTGTTATTATTTAAATCAGTTCTTAAACGTTTCTTTCTCCAATCCTATTTTCAGATATTTTTGTGGGTTGGTTTGAATTGCAGTGGTAAATGAAGCAGAGTTAATATCACGTGATTCTTCACCTTTTTCTTTGGTTCGCGCCCATTTCAAAGCACCAACCAGTTCTCACACCCACTTCCAAAATTGATGAAAAACGATATTGATCTCATGTGTAAATAACAAAACCATTGTTTCTTTAAACTTTATTCACTTAACTGACAATAAAATAAGACGTTACAAGAACCCATGTTACTTTCATAGCAAAAAAAAAAAGAAAAGAAAAAAAAAGGTTATTATGATGGTATCAGATGGTAAACTTTCTGGAGTGTAAACTTTTATTTCAGATCACCAAACACTATTCTAGGTTATCCTTAATAAACCAACACCATCCTCGCACTCGCTGGTTAAGAGCCACTGTTCTAAGGTGATAACATTTTTTCGTTTTTTGCCAAGAGTCGCGGCCCAAAGAATGTCTGAAGTATGTATGATAATCTACAAAAAATATTAAAAATATTTTTCCAATCTTTTATGAGTGAACCTGTATATTTAAGTCTTTCCGGTCGATGATACAGCGACAAGCCAGCTGCTAAAGTGAGTGAGTGACAAGGTCAAACAGGTTAATGATTACAATTTTGGCCAGCAGAAAAAAAAAGCAATATTGCAAACTTTGAAAGCCTTCAGGTGACCTATGGCTAGGTCGGCATTTTAGAGCAATCTGTCCGTTACTCGAAGACCTGTGCAAATTGAGTGGTTGCTGAACAACGAATGAGGCACTAAGAAGAAAACTGTTCGTCAGTAATGGTTAAAGTACAAACTTGGACAGGGTTAAGAAAACAACCAAGAAAGTACGAGAAGGCGGATATACATGTCTTCTTTGTTAACTTTCCAGTTGTGAGCAAATACTGACCCCCAAAAAAAAGGCACTATGAAAATGCAAAAATACATATAGCAAAATTACCAATGCATAGTAAAGCTACCAACAATACAATTTTAAAACAAAATTACCAACAATACATTTTATAGTAGAAGTCTCAACTAAACATTCTATAGTAAAATGACCAAAAATGCATTTTTCTGTAGTTGAAGGCATAGAATTGCGTTGAAAATTATTTAGTTTAAACCACGAAATTGTTAAAAAAATATTTAAATTTCGGTATTAAATAACCTCTAGAGGTATTTAAATGCCGCTAAACGACCTTCATTAAAAGGTGAAATACCTCGAGTAAGAATAAAATAGATTTATGAAGTTAAATTTGTCTTCATGAGATTTTAAAAACGGAATAGGACTTTTTTTTTCTTTACTAAGCATCGAATATATCCATGTTATATATCCATGTTTATATATATATATATATATATGTATATAAGAAAGAGGGAGTATTTAGAGCGATAAAATCGGATGTAGATAGGTTACGACATTTCCAAATAGTTGGTTGGCTTGCCTTGAAAATCAGGATTCGACTCCTCGGTTTGAATTTTGAAAATAGCTATGTGACAGAAATAAAATTCTCTCAATCTCTAAGCAGGTTTACACATAAAGCCATTAAAATCACGCTACGAATAACCTATGAGATTTTCTTTATTCAGTATTATTTACAAGATGTTTTATTTCTTCATTAATTTTAGCATTTGGTACTTGATGGAAATTCACTATCTACGAATGACCTTGTACAATTGGGTAAAGGAGTATTCCTGATTAAGGTAAGAAAACAACTAAATATTCTGTTATAAATGTTTATTAATTCTTTCTAAAACGAAATCAAACATAAATAGCAGAATATATATACATACATATATACATACATACATATATATATATATATATATATATATATATATATATATATATATATATATATATATAAGATGTGTCTCATTAAATAATAGTTTTGTCGACTTATTGTTAATAAATTCTTCTCATATTTACGGACGAATTCTTTATTAAAAAGGAAGAAAACGTTACCATGTAGATATATATTCATTTTATTTGCAAGTACTTTCGACATTAACACGACGCTGAAGATGACATTGTACTAATGTCGAAAGTACTCATGAATAAAATGGATATACATCAACATAGTAACTTTCTTTCTTCCTTTAATAAGGATACTAAGAAACTCGTCCGTAAATATGAGAGGATCATATTAAGAATAAGTAGACAAAACTTGGTCCAAATTATATAATGAGACATGTCTTAATGAAAACATGCTACCAAAATATACGTATATATATATATATATATATATATATATATATATATATATATATATATATATATATGTGTGTGTCATGCGAGACAATTTTTCTCTCCAGAATCTGTTATATATATTTATAAGTCTATCATTCGTCCAGGCTTAGAATATTGCTGCCACATATAGTCTGGTGTTCCTGTTATTTACCTTGAGCTCCTTGATAAAATCCAAAGAACAATCAGCAATATTATTCGTCCTGATCTGGTGACTCGGCTTCAGTCACTTTCCCACCTCCACAAAAATGCCAGTATGTCTTTTCTATGAATACTTTCATAATAATTTTTAGGGTGAGCTCTTCGCTATGGTACCCACACTTGTAAAATCTAAGTGGAGTACTGGATTGTCGTCGAGATCTCATCAATTTACAGTTGAGCTGGCTATAACCGTAAATTCTAAACTAAGTTTCTTTTCTCGCACTTCTCGCTCGTGGAACTCCCTTCTGGTTTCATGCTTTTCAGCCAATCTTAATCTGTAAAAAATTAAATGCAATGTTAGTTGCTATCTATTGTCTTCCTGATTATTCTTTTCTTTTTGTTCGTTTGATAATTAGTCCATTCGACACCGTCTGTTCGACATTTTATCCCTTCGTCATTTTGCCTTTCGACACTTCAACACTGTGTCTTACTAGTCAATCCCCCCCACATACAGGGTAAGGTAAAAGTAACGCCCCCTTTTTATTAATTAACTTTTATTGAACTAAAATAAACTACAATAGTTTAAGAAAATTTATAAGCATTGTCACATCAAAACAACATGATTTTTTTGCTTCACAAACTATTTAAGACGTTCAAAATGTCCCCATTATTGTTCAATACAAAACTGAAGCCTACCAGCAACACTTCTACAAACCATTTCACATATTTCTACATTAATTTCAGGAAAAAAAATGTCAGAAATTCCTTGCTTTAATTCAGGGATTGTTTTCGGTTTCAGTACAGCCGACAGGAAAAAAGTCTGGTGGGGTTAAATCTGGTGATATTCATCGCCACTCAATTATTCCACGTCGTCCTATCCACCTCAGATCGAAAAAAAGGGCGTAACTTTTGCCATACCCTCTACTTTGATGACAGAGCAATGGATCTAAGCATCAACCTCAGAAAGGCATGAACATGCAAAGATCAGCGGATAGACAGAATGACATAATTTTTTATGATTCACAAACTATTTAGGACGTTCGAAATGTCCCCATACATACAACACTGAAACATATCAGCAACATTTCTACAAACCATTTCACATATTTCTATATTAATTTCAGAAAAAAAAAATGTCAGAAATTGCTTGTTTAAATTCAGGAACTGTTTTCAGTTTGAGCCTGTAAAAAGGATCTTTTAGTAAGTCTAGGGTTAATCGCTATCTTCTCCTAGCCGCATAAACAGGCTCTTATTGTAACCCTCTACATTGAGTGGCTCCGGCTATTGTGCAGGCTGAACCTCACTGAAAAACAAACAAAAATACACCTAACTGGTGTTAGGTCTGGCCATCGTACTCCCCCATAATTGCTGCCTGTCGTTCTATCCATCTGGGATCCTAAAAAAGGGCGTTACGTTTGTCGCGCCCTGTAGATTAAATAAAGAGTTCAGTTCGAAATTTCCTGAAGTTTACCATGGACGACAAGCATCTGATGAAGACCAGAGGGTACAGTGACCGAAACGTTGTGGTAATAACAAATATGAATGACGATTACTCCGCTTACCAGAAATTCTGGTAGAAACTTTATCAATTATCCATTATTTTCCATTTTTCGCAGTACATTCCACACGTTTATCGGCATCTTTTTTTTCTCTTCATGTAATCTGTTTCTCATTTTAAATGCCAAGAAATTTGGGTTAGCACCTTTTTGTTTCGAAAAAAACTGATTGATTTTTGATTGATTTCTCTCCCTGCCTTCCTAAAATGCATCCTGTTTGCATTGCTTTGCTAAAGTCTGTTGCATTATTGTCTTGAATATTTGTTTTTACATTTTATGATCAGCTCAGCGAAGACGCAATCCAAGCTGTTGTCAAAGCCCGAAAACTTTTGGACGAAATTGTAGTTAGCAATAAAGGTAAGACGAAGAAAACGATTTTACCAAAGATCAGATATGCATATATCATTCCGTAACTTTCTTTCTTTTATGTTATATATCCCTTGAGTACAGGATCGATCATGGCTCTCCACAGTTTCCTGTATTCTGTTACACTAAATAACTTTACGAAACAATTTTTCTTCTTTTTATTTCCACTAGTTCACTCAAATTCGTTAAGTAGGTTATTCGCTGTTTTTCTTTCTTGTCCTGCTATCTTGTGAGTGTTAAATTCTCTAGGTCTTCTTTTCTCAGTATATCTTCCTGAAATTTTAACTATTTGATTGTAAGTATAGTTGTCGTTTTAGTTACTCTTTTCTTTAAAATTTCATCGTTATTCATGTCTTCTGAACGTGGTATTCTCAGCATTTGTCTTTGGTATATCCCTGCCACTTTAGGACCTTCCATCATCTGTGAGGAGATTCTCTAGAATTCACCGCCATGTAGGCGATTAGATATTCTATAACAAAAGAATGCAATTCTTCATCATCTTTTATGTACCATGTCCTGCGATTATGAATCTACAAGGCGGATACTTCGACGTGGTGTAATGGTTAACAAGCTTGTCTCGCTAGATCAATTATTAGTGACTAGTGTGTTCGATCCTCAGTAGGTGCCCCATATATTCGGCCTTGGGCCACATCTAAGCTACGCTTAATGAGTCATTTGTTGGGCACAACGGTGTAATGGTTAACAAGCTTGTCTGGTTAGATCAATTACGAATGAGTAGTGAGTTCGATCTTCACTAGGTACCTCATACATTCGGCCTTGTGCCACATCTAAGCTACACTTAGAAAATCATTTGTTGGGCACATCAACGTGGTGTAATGGTTAACAAGCTTGTCTCGCTAGATCAATTATGAGTCACTAGTGTGTTCGATCTTCGCTAGGTGCCCCATACTTTCGGCCTTGTGTCACATCTAAGCTACACTTAGAAAATCATCTGTTGGGCACATCGACGTGGTGTAATGGTTAACAAGCTTGTCTCTCTAGATCAATTACGACTGAATAGTAAGTTCGATCCTCACTGGGTGCCCCATACTTTCGGCTTTGTGCCACCTCTAAGCTACGCTTGGAAAATCATCGGGCAGTTCGATGTGATGTAATGGTTAGCAAGCTAGTCTCGCAGGATCAATTACGACTAAATAGTGAGTTCGATCCTCACTGAGTGTCTTATACTTTTGACCTTGTGTCATATTTAAGCTACACACAAGCTACCATAAATCTATAAAACTTTTTGTCTTTTGTTGCTCTAAATAAATGTTGACCATTTATACTCCCTTTTTCTCCCCCTTTTTTGCTATCAATTCGCTGACATTCGTTAAGTTGATAAAATCCAAAGAATCTGCAATGTTATCATTATTGACCTGGCATCTCGTCTTCAGTTCATTTTTCAATCCTGTAACGTAGCTCCCCTGCGCCTTTTCTATAAATATTTTCATGGTAATTGTCCTGATGAGCTTTCCTTTTTGGTACATCGAAGGTTTACGGCCATATAACGTTGAAGCACCGGTTCCATGTTAAGTAACATCGCGCCTGGTCAGTACCTAGTGGGTGACCGCTTCGGAATACCAGGTACTGTAAGCTTGGATATGGGGGGGGGGTAAAGGAAAGGGGTTAGCGGTATCGTATTGAAAATCGAATTCGTTATATAGTCTTATGCGCAAATACGCTTGAAAAAGTTCACTAACTCGTCTCCCCAACTATGGATTAATTAGTAGAATTTGTATCAGTAAATAATTAAAAAAATTCTTTAAAATCTAAAGATATCTGTACTGTCTATATTTCTGAGATGAGGTATTATGTACACTATTTACATTATTCAGACTATTGTCCTCATCTTTGTTGCCATATTTATCACAACATTTCAGCCGATGTACGTTCCGGCTTTCAGGTGTGCCAGAGAAAAAGCAATAATAACAACAAAAATTGCAATATGTGCTCTGGTAAAAAACATGCAATGATAACAGCAAAAATTGCAATATGAGCACTGGTAAAAATGGCTGCTGAAGACCTTAAGTTTATAAGTCCCAGAAATTCATACACACCTTAAGGACACATGGCACAGTGGATAAAGGCGTTGGTTAGATCCAGTGACAGGACCCAAAGAGTTGTGAGTTCAATACCTGGTTAAAGGGCATTAACAGGAGATAATTGGCATCCATTAAACATGGCACTTGGAACTAGAACACTTTATCCCAGCGAGCGAAATAAAGGGTTCAGTTCGACATTCCAGCCACCTGAAGAGAGCGTACATCGGCCGAAACGTTGGGATAAATATGGCAACAAAGATGAGGACACTAGTTCGAATAATGTAAATAGCTCTAAATAAACTGCGAAGAGTTGATAAGCCGTAAAAAACAAATCAATTTTGGTTCTTAGACTTTATGAATTTAAGCTTGTTTTCCTTATTTACAGTTGAAATGAATATATGTAACCGTAAGTTCTACGCTGACAGTTTCTTCTATCGCACTTCTCGCTTGTGGAACTCTTTTCCGTCTTCTTGCTTTCCAGTTAAATTTGATCTTCAAAAATATAAATCCAATGTCAGTCATTATCTTCTGTCTTCTTAATTCCTGTTTCTTTTTTTTTTATTGTTCTCTCGCCATAATGATGTTTTCTTTTTCTCGTATTTTCTCACATTCAGTAACCACCCCCACCTTGCGTCTTAGTAGATTTATTGCCTTGCTTGGGGTGAAATGATTAAAAAAGAGTTTCTTTGTTTGAAATTGTTTCTCTTGCCTTGAAAATGTGTTTTGCGTGTCATTTTCTCTAGGTCTTCTTTCCACATTATGTGTCCTCAGAACCTATTCTCCTTCAAATGGGCATCTCAAAAGTTTTCAGCACCTTCTATTTATTTTCTAACATAATCTCTTTTCTTGGGAGTGCACTTAATATGACGCTTCTCCATTGAAAACATTAATCGAATTTTCTAAAGGGAAATAGATGAAAATTTAGCTAATATCTGAGTCAAGCGATTGACTTGTTGAAAAAACTGTCTACATTCGTTTCTCTCTCTCTTTCTCTCTCTCTTTCTCTCTCTCTCCCTTTCTCTCCCTTTCTCTCTCTTTCCCTTTCTCTCTCTCTCCCTTTCTCTCCCTTTCTCTCTCTCTCTCTCTTTTTTCTCATATTATTTCCTCCTTCCTCTCATTCATTCTGCCTCTTTTCTTTTTTCTTTTTCTCTTTCTACTTCCCTCATTCTCTTTTTTGTTTTTTCTTTCATTTTTTTGTTTTCGTTTCTTTCTTTCTTTTTTTTTTCGTTTCTTTCTTTCTTTTTTTTGTTTCTTTCTTTCTTTTTTTGTTTCTTTCTTTCTTTTTTTTCGTTTCTTTCTTTCTTTTTTTTCGTTTCTTTCTTTTTGTTTTCTTTCTTTTTTTTCGTTTCTTTCTTTCTTTTTTTTCTTTCTTTCTTTTGTTTTCTTTCTTTTCTTTTGTTTTCTTTTTTTTTTTTTGTTTCTTTCTTTCTTTTGTTTTCGTTTCTTTCTTTTGTTTTCGTTTCTTTCTTTCTTGTCCCCCCTTTCTCTCCCCCCTCCATCCCTCACTTTCTCTCTTCCCTTTATTAATATTACTTCCGTTATTTTGCAGTTGTGTATGGCATTACCACTGGATTCGGTAATTTCGCGCGGACTTTAATCCCTCCCGACCAACTGGTGTAAGTAAATTTAAAATTAATAATACAGCGGGAATCTTGAATTAACGAGAAAGCCGTAGACAAGTTGAATAATTCAGAAATTATTTGGACGACGATGCTTAATTGCCCAAGGATAATGATGACCGAAATAGATTTTTTTTTTTCGATGATTGTTCATGAGGCTACGAAAGGACGAGAAAGAGAACTTGACGATAGTACAGAAACCGAAAATATTGGTAAATGAATGTCTGATTTGTTTTAGTGTTCCTGTGCATTGGTTTTGACAAGTTTTTTTTTTTAGATTTTAAGTACTTTTCTTGCTTCTCAGTATTTGTCAGTCCAGATCTGCCGATTTAGTCTGTTCAGGCAAACTTGTCGAACTCTCTGCCTTCAGAAGGAACCCAGACGAGACTGCGCCGAAGGGCAGAGTCACGTTTGGAGAGGTAGACAAGCCCAACCTTGTTTATGTGGGTCTACGGGGAATTTTTGCCCAAGCCTATGGGCTCGGATTTGCCCCACATAAAATAACGGTTTTGTGCCACATCCTGCCTTGTGGGGAGGCAAAGTAAATGACCTCAGTATTTGTTAGTAATTTAGTATGTGCGTAGATCGGATTTTGTATTGGTGTCCGGGCGGTTATGCACAGGTGGGATTTTACATTGGTGTTTGCGTGGGTATGCATAAGTGGGATTTTACATTGGGGTTCGAGTCGGGAATATGCGTAGGTTCGGATTTTGCACTCTTGTCAAAGGTTGGTGTATGCATAGGTGGGATTTTACACTGGTGTTCGAGGGGAAGCGTATACGTAGTACCAAGTTTTGCGTTAATGTTGAGTACGTGTTGAGTACGGATTTTGCATAAGTGTGCGCGAGGGGTTTGTATGCGTAGGTCGGATTTTGTACTGATGTCATGGGGGTATGCGTAGACTGGATTTTACATCGGTGTCCGAGGTGGGGGTGTATGCGGAGGACCGAATTTTGCACTAGTGTCTGAGGAGGGTGGCGTATGTGTAGGTAGAGTTTAACACTGATTTTGTAAGAATCCGCCCAGAAGTTGGCCGCCTCTTTTGGGTGGTGGATCTTGCCTCACTGGCAGGATAACTCTCAGCGATAACGCTCCTGGACTTACGACAGAATAAAAAGCAAAGATTAAGTTGCAGCTGGCATTGCCTCGTTGATTTGTCTTTTTCCAATTACGTACCTGCAGCTAAGACGATTTGCATCGAGTAGTTATCGACGATATATTTTTCAATTACCACACCTGTAAATACGACCTGTTGGAGTAAGGAAAAATGTTTGAAAAACTCTATATTCGAACCTATTCGGACGAAGGGCAAAAAGTTGGGTTTTGCCGTCATACGGTCGAGTAAGAATAAAAATGCTGTTGCCGATAATAATGATGATGATGATGAAATGCTAAATTTTGATTTTATGTTTCATTCCTGTTTTCTTCAGGGAATTGCAGGAAAACCTCATCCGGTCACATGCTGCGGGTAAACATTTTTTTTTCTTTTATATATTTTACTTAAAACTTTTTAAAATGTTATCTCTACTTTTTCCTTTACTTTTTTTTTTTTCATTGTCCTCATCTTTGTTATTATTGGCCGTTTTCAAGAATTGAAAAAAAAAAAAAAAAAAAAAAAAAAAATCGAAAGTTACTTGATGTGAAATTTGAATCCGGATTTATATGGATTCGAACTCGTGTATCTAAGATATCTCTGTCTTATTTATTTTGCAGATAGCAATCATGTTGACTTTAACAGAAAATGTACTGTATTGTGCCAGTTTTTAGGACACGTTTTTTACACAAAAATTGGGGGGCGCACTATAGATGGGTACTTTTTTTTTTTTTAAAGAGGTCAAAAATCATGTATTTTCCGTAACCGGTTGCACAGGTAATTCTTTTCTAGGCGGGTTAAAATTCATGCATTTTCGGTCACCTTAACCTACCTGGTAGGCCTACAAAATCACGGTATCTTCGGCTAAGCTTAACTAGATTCTTTCTGTTTCTACATGAACAGCAGAATGTCATTCTACAAATACAATATAGGAATGAAGAATTAACAATTTTTTCCTTTCTCCAATTTGCGTTCATCGTGTCTATGCAGCTGAGGTATTGTGTGGCAAAAGAGAAAGCCACTTACCGAGAAAAGGAGCACGTGTGTTCTGTACGATATGCCGAAGATAAAATAAGCAAAACGGAAGCAATTCAGTCGCAACTGTTGCCGTAAATGCATCGCGAATATGCTAATATTGGGTGTCCTCTCTCACCTGTCTTCCAATGAAAAATTTGTTCCGTCGATAAAAGCAGTTGACGTTCTCAAATAGTGAGAGGATTACTTGATCTTTTCTACACACCATCCGTCGGCTGGCAGGCAGGCTTTCTAGCTAGCTAGATTTCTGACTGTTTAAATGTATTCGAATTTGTGACACTGGACCTGCAATTCGTGATTTCGACATTACTTTTTGCCCCTGGATCTGCGATTTGTCTAGTCCCTTGTAGAATTGGGCTGTCATATCAATTGAACACCTTGTTTGCAAGGAAAGAAACAGAGTTTAACCCTTTGAACCCTGACCATCGTTTTACCGATGGTTGAGAAAAATCATGTTATGCCTATTGTTACGCCCGGGTTTTCGTTAGGATTACGATAGCCGGGACGCAACGAGAAAATAAACAAGAGTATGCCAGGTTTCAATGTAAAATTAAAGAACGATGGGAGGGGAATTCTCCAATTCCGGACGTCGGTGAACGAAGTGAGAAAACGAACAATATGCAAACACAGGAAAATTCGTTAAGTAGGTTATTCGCTGTTTTTCTTTCTTTTCCTGCTATCCTGTGAGTGTTAAATTCTCTAGGTCTTCTTTTCTCAGTATATCTTCCTGAAATTTTAACTATTTGATTGTAAGTATAGTTGTCGTTTTAGTTACTCTTTTCTTTAAAATTTCATCGTTATTCATGTCTTCTGAACGTGGTATTCTCAGCATTTGTCTTTGGTATATCCCTGCCACTTTAGGACCTTCCATCATCTGTGAGGAGATTCTCTAGAATTCACCGCCATGTAGGCGATTAGATATTCTATAGCAAAAGAATGCAATTCTTCATCATCTTTTATGTACCATGTCCTGCGATTATGAATCTACAAGGCGGATACTTCGACGTGGTGTAATGGTTAACAAGCTTGTCTCGCTAGATCAATTATTAGTGACTAGTGTGTTCGATCATCAGTAGGTGCCCCATATATTCGGCATTGTGCCACATCTAAGCTACGCTTAAAGGATCATTTGTTGGGCACAACGGTGTAATGGTTAACAAGACGACACAAGAGTATACAATACAAATATTTTATCTATGAAATATACAAGGTATGAAATTAAGGAAAACAAAACAAAACTAAATAATACAAGGGATGGGGAGATAATTTATCAGTGAAACATATACGAATGCGACGAAATATACACGAAAAGAGACAGCAGATTATAGAATATATGTAAACATGCAAAAACTTACACAAGGTCGGGATCGACGTCGATCGGTTATTATCAGGGGTACAGTTCGATAGAAAAGATGTTCATACACTTCTCCGAAAGTAAAGGGTGGAATTGCCAATGTCCTAATATAAGTTTTGATTGACGCCGTTCAATCCTTGTTGATAGTGAGAAGTACATGCAGATAAATCACAGGAATATAGCCGATTTGTGTTGAGGGTACTGTTCAAGATTCTCTCGTCGTTTATTCGGTCTTTGGTGGCGTCTGAATCCTCTGACGGCAAACAGCAAAATCTGGTTTTGGTGACACCCGCTTCTTCCAACGGCAAACAGCTAAGACTAATTCTGGGGACGTCCGCTTCTTCCGACGGCAAAAAACTAAGTGAAGTTGTTTTTCCCCAACACGCACAAAAAAAAACAGTTAGGGGTTAAGTCACCTGTTGGCCCACGAAAGTGAGTAGGCGTTATCCACATAACACAGCTAAGGTCGTCTGCACTTATTAGACAAACAGCGTTCGTCTGGTCTGCGATCAGAGACCAGGCAGGAAATGGGGGATGGAAAGGAAAGGTTCTCTTCCAAGAACTGGCCCTTATCAACCGTGTACAAAAAATATACTCCATAATCTGCATATTCAAAGAAATAAAGAAGTTATTAATATTCTTATGTCTCGTCGCAAATACACAATGTACTAAAAGTATACTTATAAAATCTGAGGTGGGGGTACAATTATTGGGCTAACGTAACACTAGCCACCGGTTGAACGGTGTGTAAACACTTGTAACAACTTTTTATATCTACCGCGAAACATTGGATATTAATTATTTGCGAATTTTGACTCGGGGAGTTCAGGCAGAACTTTTTATATCTACCGCGAAACATTGGATATTAATTATTTGTGAATTTTGACTCGGGGAGTTCAGGCAGAAGGTTTAAAATTGTTCAGGAACGCAGGACTCAAATGGTTAAAGTTGTTTTGCTACATATTGCTTTTCCTACTACATATCTATACTGTTTATGCTTCAGTCGGCTTCCTTATTCTGCCTTCCTCTCTTTATATATATATTTATATTTTATTTATTATATTCGTCATATTCACTGATATTATGTTATCTTGTAATTCTTCGTTATGTATTCTTAAAATATCTTAACAAGACACACAGCAATATAGAGCAAATGATGATTGCACAGGTGGGAATAACAAATGGATTTTGATTCTAGTAGCTTTATTTGCGGTATACAGTAATATTATCAATAGGAATCAACAAAATTGAGGAACATTGTAAAAGCATATCCCACTATTCACATATGAATTATACACGAAGTATTACGGTACATACTACAGGAAGAAATTATTGATGATACAGCAAAGAAAACTTATTTTACTGACCCTTTATTAACTGTACAATAATAAATTATTTACGATCAGTCAGTTAAGTGCCATATGTGATAAACGATCATGTCTCTTTCGATTTATGACTGACTCAGCAGATGTTCCCGCA